CAAAACAGAGTAACAGAATTAAGCTCCAACTACTTAAAAAACCTTCAGCACTTCAGTAGTTCCACTAGAGTCAAGAGACCTTCTCACAAACACATTTGTGCTCCAGTGAACATCTGGATTGGGACCCTAATGTTTCTAAAAGGGGAGTGGGGAGGTGGGGGAAGTGTAAATCCTACTGAATGATATATATAAACAGACAGAAATACATAATTAGAGGCCATACTTATTTCTGTCCACACAAAATTACTCTTTGGCTATGGGCAAAGAATTCTGAGAATGTATTGGTAAAATAGTGTTTAAAAATTTTACAGTCCTAGAAAAGTTCCTGATTATATTTCCTGAGAGCAAAAGTGAACATACTGCAAATTTTCACCTATTCAACAATCCAGCAAGTAGCCCACTAGGTAGCCCAATATTTGCAGAGCAGTCAGCCTTAAAGGTCTTCTCCTAAAACTACGATTATTATTCATTGGATTTTGAACTTGTGTCATCTATGAAATCTACAGAGGTGTTTTTTTGTTGGTGGTGGTTTGGGTTTTTTTTTTTTTTAATGGTAAGTGATGCTTTGATACTGGATACCAAACAAATTAACTCTTTCCAGAAAAACTATGCTTTATTATGTATTTTTTTCTTGCTTCCATTTACAACCACGCTGAAAAGCACAGACGTATAGATGAATCAGTTACACAGTTCTTTTTGACTACAAGTGTGCAGCTTGTTTTTCTTACTGATGTGTTTCAGAAACGAATCAGAAGTCCTCAAAACCCATGATTTCACAGTATTTACAACAATTTATCAAAATGACCTGCTTTTTAGAGACCATTTCAAACAAGCACATATGATTTATGATATTTAGATGTGTTTAAAATAAATCCCCTGCAGAATTAACTTTTTACCGCTTGCATCTTGAGAATAGGTAGGTTTTAAAAGACGTTAAAACACTGGAAAAAAAGAGTATTTTTTTTCTTTTCATGTGATTTGCCAATGAACAAAAACCAGCAGAACAGCTATTGAAACACTGGATTCCTGAAATGGTTTTGTAGGTTTAACAGCAGTGTTTCTATATGATACTATTGTAAATACAGTCAAATATATGAACAGTTGTTATTACCTGCTAGCCTTTCCTTGGAAATCTGTGCCATATAAAAACATTTTTCCACACCAAACTTTAAAAAAAAAAAAAAAAAGACTTCTTATGCCTAGGGGCATGTGTTTAATTATATTAGACTTTAACCGGAATCATATTTACTTATAATATTTATTTATCTATTTATTTATCTATCGCAATTAAATGTTTGAATAGTTGTAGTGCTTAGAATTCCTCCTTCAACAGTACTCAGCCTCCCCTGATCTTTTCACCATAGTACAGATATTTTTTTTCGCCATAGTATTTCAGGCTTCCTCAAGGCTAGCAGATTCACTTTCTTTTTTGTATTTCTCAGTAAGACTCGATTACACTTGCTATATAGGCATTAATACGCTTTTCTCCTAACTGAAGTTTTAAGAAACCTTGGACCTAAGCAAGCCAGCTTAGACAATTGCAGCAGTAATTCTGCATTTGATGTGTTCCGCATCATCTGAGAGTCAAAACCTACTCTATAAAAACCAGAAATAAAATGGCCTCAAAAGTCACAGGCAAGTAATGAGAGGGGGAGGCATTAGAAAAATCCAAAATATTCCATATAGAACAACTCGTACCACAAAGCAACAAAGCGCTCCAAGAATATGTTTTTGATACACTCAGCATGGTTTTCATCCGCACCTCATTAGCACACAGATAATTCTGACCATTAGTGCACTTTAAAATAAGCGAATTTATTTGCAACCTATCCTCAAATTTAGTATCATCTTTTTACTCCTACATCCTTGACACACACCGGGCTGAGTTACAAAGGCAAGGATGCAGATGCCATTATTCACTGCAAAACCTTAACATCTAAAGATTTGTGCGCACCACTCCCCAACTGGCAGGCTAGTTTACTGACCCACTTCTGGGCCTACGCAGGTTGAAAGGAATGTTCTGAAGATAATGGGAGAGAAACTACAAAACCTGGAGACACTGACAGCTGTAGCATGCTGGGGTCGATGAATTAAGCAAGCAGTATTTCCCAGGCCTTTGCAACATGAACAGTTGACAATTTCACCCTGTCCCGTAGCAGCCTATTCAATATCTTCAAAGGGAAGTTCCCAAACTGCTTAAAACCTGGGTTAGGGCAAAAGAAAACTGTAGATCAGGCAGTTTATAAAACTACCACAAAAGCACATTTCACCTTGCTTACTCGATCCCAACCAAAAGCATAACAGAGCATAAACGCAAAATATTTCGATCCTCCCATTCCCCTGCAGTATTTGAATTCCAGGGGAAAAGAGCAAGCACAGGGGCAAACACACGGTCCATCATCCAAAATTTTTTCTCGCCCTCTGCATTTTTGTTTATAATTTTAAAAAAATTACACTCCCGCCATCATTACAAGTAAAATGGGGTATCCCTGCTGGTAAATTTTCGGAGTATCTATGTGGCTGAGCAACGGTTACTTATTTGGGAGATGAAGGATAGGAGGAATGTTCACGTTTTACTTTCTTTCAACTATCTACAAACTCAGCTGTATGAATCAACGCTCCTGATCTTAAACATTCAGAAATGAAAGCAGAGTAGTGAAAGAAAGGGGTAGCCTAAGGTTAATTCAGCTCTGAAATGTGGAACAGATTCAGCAAACACTGAACATTCTGTGGCTTTAAGTGATACGCTTAAGAAGAGGAAACATATCTGTAAATAAGCAAGAGCATTAATAATTGTCTCAGAATGCTGGCACTGAAACTTCAACAGTCTCTCTTCACTTCCGAGTTATTTACTATTAGGATTTTACACAAACGCCTATTGAAGTAGTTCCGAGTGTGATGAATATGTGTCCAAAAAGTGGGGAAGGCGTGGATGCAATTCTTTCAAGGATGGTGATTTGTTTAAAAAAACAAAACAAATTAATGAGAAATAAAGAGGATGATCTTTAATCAAATGAGGGGCAATTACGGATGACAAATATAGAAACGCAGCAACTCGAAAATAGTTCTTGCTGCCATACATTAGAAGGGCATTAAATATCTAGCACCAGAGCTCAGGATTAATAAAGGGGTGGGGTTAAACGTTCAGTCCAAAACTCAGGCTTTTCCTGAAGAAAAACCAAAGATCCAGCAGCTACCCAGTCTTTGTCAAAAGACGCCTATTTTCATTTTGAGAGATTCACAACTGTGTGAATGGCCATACTATATTTTTTTCTTAGGGGAAGGGAGGAGGAAACAGTTACCTGCCTTGATCTTCAGAAAGCTTTAGAAAGTGAGGTTCGGAGTGCAGCGCAAAATAAGCATAACCGCAGCTAAAGGCTGGAACCCGTGTCCACTCAAGCCAGTGGAGGACTCCGGTCACTTCAGGGTAAGGTTTGGGACATTCCCCACTGATGGGTTTTTTTTTGGTTTGCGTTGCAAAATGAAATAAACAGAAAGCGATGCGGATACTTCCCTGACAGTGAAGGGGACCGATTTCCTTTTTTCCTTCAGCTGTAAATAGACTGACACATACAATAAATCCTTACACCGACAGGCATCTAGTTATTTTCCCAGTAATAACGGGGACTCAGATTTTAGTATTGCTCATACACCTCACGAAATCAGAGAATTCCTTTTATCGCACAAAATGTAATGAAGATGCAACAGTAGATTTCACCACCAGTGTTTTAACTGAACACAGCTTTTAATCTGGGAAGAGTTTTCAGCCTATCTACCGGCTAGGTAAGATGAAATTCAGTTAAACCCACCCTGAATTACTGTAAATGTTTCATTAATGTCACGGACAATGAAGAAAACGATGGTATCCTTGAGGGTTCTTTTTTTTAAAATACTTTCTGTTGCTTACCACTTTACCAAGCTCACAACATTTCGAGTGAAAGAGGTCACGGTTTCAGTTGTGAACTCCATAAATATCGGGAAAAGCCTTTCACTTTCTCTTCCTCCATAACAAACAATTCGCTACGCCCGCTCTTGAGTTTTCAAACTGTTGAGCCCTCTCTTTTTCAAGTGCCTCCAGCCTGCCTGAGTATATTTTTGGTGACCCCCTGGTTTATGTGCGCCCTAAGGGAAGTGCCATCAGTCGCGTTGCCTTCGCCGAGTGGCTTTGGTCAGAGTGGGACTTTGACAGGCTTTGCCATTCTGAAAAGTGGAGATTATGTCAAGTTTTTCTGCATGCTCAGTGATGCCAGATCATCGCCTCAGAATGACTGCGGGTCTACATGTTTTTCTGCTCTTCTTTAAGTAAGAATTGCAGTGATTTTAAAAGTCAGACAGCTCCTTCCCTCCCTCTGCCCCTGCCACCAGCAAACTGAAGCGAAGCGGCTTTCTGAAACCCTCATTCACCCGCTTTGCTTTACAGACTCCAAATTTTGCCCCTTCCACGCCGAGGGCTGGGTGCGGGCGCACCCAGACCCTGCAGGGCAGCGAGGCATCAGCTCCCCTCCCGCATCCCCACTTCCCAGGCAGTTTCCAAGCGTTGTGCAATCGCCCCGGGCCCGCAGTCAGCTCCGCAGCGAAGGGGCGGAGGGGCAGGAGCGCGCTATATTCTGAATTTTGAAGCAGGGGTGCCGTATGGGGCCGGGGGGAGGGGGACGCGGGAGCAGATGCTAAAATCCTCACCGAAAGTACAAACGTTTCTCTCCTCGGCCGTAGGAAACTCTCCCCCCGCACCACCACCACCACCTTGATTTCACGCTCCATCACGTGCTGGATTTTTTCCTTTTTATCTCCCCCCCGCCCCACACCCCCCCTCCGCAGCCCTAATAAATCTGGCTTTAATGATGGAGCCCCCCAGACCGC